TTTAATTTGGTTTACACGGTCAAATGCCTTCTGCCAGTCTATGAAGCAAACACACAGTTCTTCATCTATCTCCAAAGTTCGTTCTGCTATAATTCTCATCATCCCAATTGCATCCCTGGTTCCTTTTCCTCTTCTAAATCCAATCTGATCTTCTCCAAGTATATCCTCTATTTTCCTTTTCCTCTTCTAAATCCAATCTGATCTTCTCCAAGTATATCCTCTATTTTCCTTTCAATTCTTCTTTTAAGTATCTTTGCTATTATCTTTGCTGTATGTGCAATAAGGCTTATTGTGCCATGGTCGCTGCATTTTGTAGCTTTTGTCGACAAAAAACAATAAAAACATCTGTTGAAAATTAATGATGACATAAACAATATGTATAATTTTAGTGTGGTTTACCAACTACAATGTTCTGACTGTCCATTAAAATATATAGGACAAACTGGACGCACCTTTAAGGTCAGATTCAAAGAACACATACGAGACATAAAAAATAACTGACGAAGTTCCAAATTTGCTCAACATGTATTGGACACCACATATGAATATGGTACGATAGACAAAACATTGGAAATTCTATATATCGGCAAGAAAGGCCGAACCTTGGATACATACGAAAGATTTCACATTTATGAAATCAGCAAACAAAACTTACAACTGAATGATAATTTTACTGAAATGTTTAACCCTATATATGATGTAATAATTGATACATACAAAACATAATATACAGTTATACCCTCTTCCCCCCCCTACTGTCACTCCCGCATACACCTTATCTTTACCTCCCCCCCCCCTACATTGACTTTAACCTGCATCACCAAATCAGTCATTTACTTTCCATACAGTATGGACAATTCTTCATAAGATGAGGCACCGTCTACACAGTAAGTAATAATATTGTATATACTATATACTACATCTTCAATATCAAAATCAATTATTAATTATGACAAAATTTAATACTATTATTTTCATATCATTTTCAGATTAATTAATTTGCAACATTATGGGCTTCCTATACACTCTTATATAAATGAAATATCGAACTTCCAATTAGTCCTTAGAAATGTATGAAAAGTAAAAAATCAACAACCTATTCGATGTTGTATAACATTAATTAAGTTTTATCTTGTTTTATACAATAACTTTCAGTTTTTTTATATAATCTGACTTATTTTATTTTTACACAAAGTATTTTAACATTGTACCCATTCTATTGTACAGCAGTTCAATGGTGTATGTTTGTTGATATGTGTTTGCATGATGATTGCCATTAGTGGCTGAAACATGTAAAGTGAAGCCCTGATTCTTTCTATTTGTTGTGTTTTGACGGTTAATAAAAGAGTTGTTAATTAGTTCCGTCCAGTGTGACTGGTTAAGATTTGTTTTGATGTATTGATTTACCAGTTTAGCTTGACTAGTGTCAATGAATTTGATTTGTTTCATTCTGGTTCGTCACACTAATAATATTATGAAAAAGTTAATAGTTCCATCCAGTGTGACTGGTTAAGATTTAAGTCAAATTTAAACAAATCACATTCAAGGAATTGCATCTTTATCCGTGTCAGTCACATCAGTTTGCATACTAACTCAAGAAACTAACTGGAAATTCTTTAGAATGTAATGTAACATCAGTTTAATAACTTCACTTTCATTAAGACAATTTTGTTCCATGTTAATGTTATGATTTACTCCACAGACTGATATGTGCTTAGATTCAAGCTCATCTACTTCAGGACATGAGGATGCTACTATTGTTGAAATCCATGTAGTGCTATGTAATTTTGTTAGTTCAAATCCAAAGGCTTGGGCTCCAATAATATCTACATGGTCATTAGAATTACTAGGTAATTATCTGTTACCATAATTTTTATTCTGTTATTGAACTAATTGGAATTCATGAAAGTGTGTTAGCTGTTTATTGATAAACCGATGAACTTTTACATGAAGCTATTTCTGCTGTTTGGTTATAGGCTTGCATCTTAAGAATAGTGCAGTTAGTTAGTTAGTTAGTTATTGGAGAAGGTGGGTTTCCCCATGCACTTAGACCTGTAGTGGTCCATTGTGCTTCACTCTATGATTTCTACCAGTCTCTATATTATACCGGTACTGGTGCTTACCATCAGTCCCGCCCAGCCAGCGAGACCGGCTCTACTAGCTGAGAGATATCTATAATGCTTCCCCCATCTACCAGAGGTATTAAAGACTGCTGTTGGGCGGGAAACATCCGTAATTTGGCTCAGTGACCTCCTTTGGAGATATGAGGTTCTTTTACGTGCCGTAAAGCTACAACACGGGACCCACGGCTTAAAGTCCCTCCCGGAGGACTTGTTCCCTGAATTTTTCTGCCCTTAAAAATTCGACGACCTATGCCGGGTATTTGAACCCACGTACTACGAGTCATGAGGTGGGAACATTACCTCTAGACTACGGAGGCCGCTTAAGAACAGTGTAAATACAGTGTGTGAACTTTGTATGTATGTGTATAAGGTGTAGTCGAGTAAAATTTGTATGATGGTACATAATTGTTCTTTATGATTTCTACACAAATAGTCTGCAACATTACAAGATCAGAAACAGTCATTTAGCTTAGTAACTTGAATTTGAAGTGCAACATATTTGTTTTCATGAAATGAGATCTTATTGTCATGGGAACTGAATGAAGAACTGGAAGGGAAGGGAAGGGAAGGAGTAGACTAGCATGTATGTCTCTCTTTCAAGAAGCAGTGAGACTCCTCTTCTCCCTGTCTCATCCAGGCATTTCCAGAGAAGCTGAAGGCTGCCTTAGGGTGGCCACACACCAACTGCGTCAAAACAAGCATCAAGACATGAGACAAAAGATGCAGTCTTGCTTCATTCACAATTTGTCAAGAAGAAGCTGACATCAGCATCATGACTCAGAATGGTGTGGTAGTTTCCATAGTTTCATTCGTTTCAGGTGTGCTCCTTTCTTTGTGTCATGTTGGAGACATCGTGTTTTGACTTCCATATCTTGATGCATGGTGCTGTGCAGCCTACCTTATTCACATTAGTTTCTGAACATTCTCAAAGTGGTACCTCGTATAGAGCATGGTTGCAAGGCAGTAAAGACAGCCTTAGCCTCAGTGAGAGTCAAGTTTCTGTATACCACAGACATGTGCCACCAGTAACAGAGATAAGCAGATGTGAACAGCAAGTGTTAAGCAGTTTAAGGCAGGGAGAAGATTCAAGAAGTTGGCACTATAGTGGTGTTACTGTGAAATGTTAGTGGACAGCAGCAAACTGACATCAAGATCCTAGGTGGCTATTGATGTTGAGACAGTAACCATTCCAAATAATGATAAATATTATGTATATTATGATATAATGACTGAAAGCTGGAATAGCAGAGCGAGAAGAGGCAGTTGTTGCTAGGCAACGGCCAATAAACTTATATTCAATGGCTGATGAACAGTAACTATGATGCAGTGTTTTCAGTGCAGTCTGTTATATTTTCTGTGTGGTCCATTCCAAGGCTGTAGGACAAGGACCAGCAGGACATAACAAAATCATGAGAGTGAACATGTTTGCAGCATCAGAAAAGGTGAAACCAGACATAGGAAATGTAAGATGCTTCAACTTGGCAGCAGACAAGCTTATGGCTGTTCAAGTGACTAAACTGCCGTTGTAGCACAAGATAAGTAAGATAGACATGATGTGTTTTGTAAAGCCTGAACTGACAGATGAGTTGTATATATTGCACAAGGAAGAATTTTCAGTTACATGTTATACGTGCAATACATACTCTTGACAAAGACAAAGCCTAGTTGTAAGAGACAAACATGCCCCCTTGTCAAAGAGAATGTTACATAAGGACTATGACCACAATGGTTCAGTTGCCAAAAAAACACTCTGGTTGTGAGCCTTAGGGGGCTTGGTGGCAGTAAACCTCCAGTTTTAAAGTAACTCTGGCTCTGACTCTGATCCTTGGAGTTAGTTGTGAGACAGTAGCCAGCCAGCAAGGATGTGAGCCCAGAAGCTAAAGTATCTCCATTGTTGGGAACCTTTACCAACCAACAAGATGTAGAAGATATAGAAGACTTCGTGTGTTCTTCAGGTGCAGTTTTTTTTAGAATGCATAGCTTAGTGAGAGTGTTACAATGATTTGTAGTTATGACTTTTTTTTTCTTTTAGTAGTGGGGTGGGACTAAATCCCTTGTACTGTGGCCACTTCTGGCCTATTGTACCAGCCCCAGATGATAGGTGAGAGTGATTGTGGAGCAATTGGTGGAATGAAGATTGGCAGGGAAACTGAAGTACTTGGGGAAAACCTGCCCCAGTGTCACTTTGTCCACCACATATCCCACTTGACCAAACCCGGGCCGCCGCAATGGGAAGCCAGTGACTAACCGCTTCAGCTGTGGCACGGCCTAGTTATGACTTATGTGATCAGTAAATCCAATTATCAGTCTAATCACTAACATATGACAACATTTTCCTGAGAGTTCCATTTCTACTGCTAGGTAATGATAGAACACAATGTGCTGAATCACTTGCCTTTAATTCCAGGATCATAAGATATGTCGTTCAGAAGTGACACATCATGAAGTAAGGCCATGTGTGGTGCTGTCAGTTATTTTTGTTTCATAAAGTGTCAATTTAAAAGAAAAACATGAAAGATTCAGATTCTGTTTCAGACGAGGGGAACTGGTATGAAAGCTTACAGCACGTTAAATTTTCTTTTGTCAAGGTCACAAGAAAAAGAAGTTAAAAATTTTAGTGATTTTTGAAGTTGAAAATTGGAATAACTTCAATTGAAAATGCTAAATATTTTGGAGGTTTATCCACAAGCATAACAGATGAAAATATGGAAATAACTGGGGATTCAGTTCAAGAAAAAAGGTTTCTCACCTCCTGTGAGTTGGCTAATGAAGTGGGAATCCCATTTTGATCATGCCAAAGCATTCAGGATCTGAACATGAACTATGCTGTGACCAAAATCGTGCCTTGCCTGCTGACTGATGAGTGGAAGTAGAATCAGGTTAAAGCATACCAGGACCTTCAGGAAAAACTTTGTACTCTCTCAGTCTTTTTGTAAAGTAATCAGACATGATGCAACATAAGGTCATCAGCACATCTATGGAGCAGAGCACATTTTTTTGCAGTGGAAAGGCCTACATCATTATTTCCAAAGATGGTCAGACAAGTTCATATCAGTCTAAAGAGCCCATTGGTTGTGTCTTTCTCAGGTGATGGAAAAGTGCATCAATACTGCTTCCCACAAGGACAAACTGTGAATGAGGATTTCTACACAAATATACTTGGCATCTATATGTAGATGTGCAGTGAGAAAATTCTGAGAATGAGACTGCTGAAAATGCACCTAATGACATGTTAATCATAGAGCACAAATACAAGTAATTTTGAAATTCCATCAGTTATGACTAAAATCAATCTGTAAAATGAAGTATCGACAAGAAACAAAAATAAATAGGGAACTTTAAACTGACTCATACTGAGACACTCTTTTCTCTAGCAATATTACAAACAATGAATTTAAGCTATAAAACACCTAGAACAAATTTGCATTAATTAACAGGCACATAATTGTATTTTTATCTAATTTTGAATAATTCATATTTGTTATTTTAGGTGAACTCTCAAGCCGCTATGCAGGTAGAGCTCATGTTCCCTTGTCAGCTGGGCTCAATGAAACCTTGCAATTGTGGATGTCTTGTCGGGCAACTCGTATTCTTATTGATATTACTACACAGTGCCTTTCCTGCCTTATGCATTCAGATACTGAGTCTTGTATTAATGCTCTGTTAGGTAAGTTTATTGCTTCTAGTAGGCAGATAACAGTTCCATAAACATTTTGAATATAGTACATTTTAAGAAGAACTCTGTTTGAATTTATGGAATTATAAACAAATTATCATCCAGTTCATCACCTTCAAGGTATGATGTTTGGCACTCCTTAAGAAATTCAGATAATTGTCCAGTCATTGATTATTTACATGTAATGTATTTGTTTATTACTTTCAGTTACAGTGAATGAAAAACCAAAGATTTAGAAGTTAGAAGTTCTTTCAGTTTGAATTTTATATTATGTTGAACACAGATGTTTGGTCATGTAGTGGGGACTTGTGAGCAGTTCTATGAATTTCTTAGCAAATCTGCTGAAAGTTACCTTTGCCAGCTCTAATGCACGCAAGCAACACATCAATAGGGTTACTGGCTCCTCCTCTGTGCCCTGCTTCTTTTTCACTTTGGAGGGGGTCGACCCTTCCACAATGTCCAGTTCTTGTTTTGTCGTAATCTGACAGAAGATCCGGCTGTTTGCTTTGCAATCTTCCTGACGACAATCTCGTAGAAGATCATTTTCTGAGTTCCTCTCCTTCCTAGGTGCGATTGCTGTCCTGATCTACACCCTCCAATGTTGTCCTCAGTTGTCACCTTTTTCTTCTGACATAGCGGCCGTTTGCCGCCTACATTCGTTATTCCCATTCTTCCTTTGTGGAAAATCCGCGCTCTTCCTCTGAGTCCTCAGAATCTTTCCTCATACTTGGTCCTGATAAAGTTTCTCCTGTCAACGCTTCTCTTGCACCAGGTGATTCTTGGATGACTGGACATCTTTCTGCCGGTTTCCTTTGTCTGCCATGCCACTCTTGCATGGCGGCTCATCTTCTAGATGTATCTCCGTCGTTTCTCAGTCAGCATCCATTATGGCCAGAAACTCTTTATGACCGGCCTCTGTCTTAGCTTGGTAAGATTTCATGTTGGCGTCTATTCTTGCCAGCCTGGCTTCTGTCCTTGTGTGGATGGCTGTTATCTCCTTCAGAAGCTCCAACATCTGCTGTGACTCCTTTTTGTGGCAGTATAATTCATTGAGGCGTGTTCAAGTTCATAGACACTTCTGACACCAATTTGTCACATGTTGGGTAGGTCACATGACAGATAACTTTACGCCATCTTGGATCAAGCGAATTTATTCCACTTGCTCTTACATTTACACAATTCACAGTTTCACAATTACTGCCATCAGCAGTATCACAATTACTTCTGCTTCCATTCACTCTGGCGAATGCTAGACTGCAACTGGCTGGTTACTCTCTCTCACCGACGAATACTCCTGTTATGTAGCTTCTGCACTGACAACACAGAAAACAGTTATGTGATAGCTTTCACTGTTGTGTGACATCGAGTTTACCAGTTGCCTAGCACACTGCACAGGCTGCACAGGCTCCCCTGTTGCATGACGCTGTGTTTACAAAGGTGTTGCTGGCAACGCTGTGTAACAGCCAGTGCGCTTCGGCTTGGCTTGGCTCAGCACGGACAAACACCGCTTTCCTTACTGTTGCTTAACCTCATTTCCACTGTCACGTAACTTGGCAACCGACTGTTTTTATCAAGGGTCTGTCTTCGTGGTACCAGCAACGGTTAGACATGTCACAATACCAGTGCTTGTATCCTCTCGATGTAGTTGAGCATTTCCATATCAAAACCCATGCATGAAACATATATTGGCCTACTTCACATTAGTAAATCTTGCCATCTTGTTTCAGCGTTATCACTGCTTGGTCTTCAGAAGTAATGCAAGCCTAAGCAAATTCTGTAAGAGCTCTGTCTTTTGATATTATGAAGACTCCATCACACAAACATGCAAAAAAATCAAGACTAAAAGTTTTAAGTGCCATAACTCTGAAACAGTGATGAATTTTGGGACACTTTGTTTACATATCCTGCCCAATGGTCTCCTCAGCAACTACCTGAAGTTTGGCCATAGGACTTCAGTCACTCTGTAAAAACTCCATGGAATAGAGTCATACCTGAGAAACTAGTAGTCTCTCAGCTATTTAAGAAATTCCTTGCCTTTAATGGAATTAACAGGCTTGTTACTGTGTTCACAAGAGCTCACCACTGGTCCTTCTCCTAAACCAGATGAATGCAGCCTATACCTTCACATCCTGTTTCTTTAAGACCAGTTTTATATTATCCCCTTTTCTGTGGCTAGTCACAATGGTATAACATGTTCTCAGGTTTTTTCTATGATAAACATAAGTTACGAGGCAGGACCCAAAAATAACCGGAAACGACCTGTTGTGCACGCATGCTTTGTAGTTATGAGTTGTGCTGCTAGGTGGTGTTAGCTGGGGGTCTCCTGCGACTGTTAGTGAGCTGGCGTCAGTCTGAGTTAAGTGGTTTGTCTGTGGTGCTCTGTTGTGTGCGTTCCTGTTTCAACCCTTTGGCGATTAGTGAGATGGCTGACCAGAAGGAACAAAGAGTGTGCGTAAAATTGATGAAGATCGTCGAAAGACCATTGACCAACTTTCTGAGGAAACGAACATCTCATGGAGCACGGTCCAGCGAATTTTAACCGAAGGTTTGCACATGAGACGGGTGTCTACAAAATTTGTTGAAGACTTGAAGAGTGAAGTGCAGTTTTCCCTGACAGAAAGCAAAATTTCACGCACACTCTTTGTTCCTTCTGGTCGGCCATCTCACTAATCGCCAAAGGGTTGAAACAGGAACGCACACAACAGAGCACCACAGACAAACCACTTAACTCAGACTGACGCCAGCTCACTAACAGTCGCGGGAGACCCCCAGCTAACACCACCTAGCAGCACAACTCGTAACTACAAAGCATGAGCGCGCAACAGGTCATTTCCGGTTATTTTTGGTTCCCCCTTCGTATAACAAAAAAGGCATACAATTACATTTTAATATCAATTTCATCACAACAAGTGATTCCTAGTGAGCTATGACTTCTTTCCTACAACATTCAGCATAAACTAACTGTGAGGGGGTACGCGGTAGCATAGTTGGTTGAGGCACTATGCTACAAGCTGGAAGGTCGTGGGTTCAAGTTCTGATGAGGTGGATTTTTTCAGTTTACCTAATCCTTCCAGTCGCACTATGGCCCTGGGGTTGACTCAGTCCCTAACAGAAATGAGAGCCAGGAATCTTCCTGGGAGGTAAAGTGAGGCCGGCACGTAAGGCTGACAACCTCACTGTCATCTGTGAGCCAGTTGTCTAGATAAAATGTGGGAGCCTTGACTTCTCACAACCCTAGGGGCCTTCAAGGCCTGTTACAGGGACGGCTTTACCTTTGCCTTTTTTACCTATAACTGCGAGTCTTCTTTCCCGGCTATTTGTTGTTGGCAGTCTGTGAAAGTATCATTGAGCCCCACCCTACTTCTTTCCCTTCTTCATGAGAGAAAAGTCCACATTCAGGAGTCTGAGAATGATTTGTCAGAATTGACAATTTACGGTCTGGTAGAAATGTTTACCACCCATGCACAGAGCTGTTATAATTTGTGATCAGAAAACATCAGCTGACTTTGCAAGTGAAAGAGGTTGTATAAGCATGAGAAATCTTTAACCCTTTTCTTCAAATAATACCAAATACAACAGAATGTCAGCATGTCTGCTAAATGATCAATTCAAACAACTTGGGAAATGTTTGTATAGTGTAACAGTTATGGAGCATTTGTTCTGTTATTGTCTGTACAGTGCACAAAATTCAGTTTATTTAATTATCTTGAAAACTTACAGGAAAACTGTAATGGGAATAAAATATGGATTTCATTTTTATCTGGATCTGGTTTGAAATTATCTGTGTTCTGATAAATATTTATGTATTAGATGTGTGCAGAAACACGTTTCCACTATTGAAATCTGGATTTAACCAAAAATGAAATGTGTTGGCAAATTTTAGTATAATTCTCCTTATATCAAATGTCATCAAGATTTATTCGACAGTTCTTGAGTTGTTACATGCAGGCAGACAGATGGACAGACAAACATTTCAAAACTAATATGCACATTTTCATAACTTTCCAATGCAAATGCACCAAAAAAGAATAAATATTGTCATTCCAGCTTTAGTTTTTAAACCTTAATGCCATAGAGTATGATATATATTTACAAGTTTGGCTTGAAGATTATGCATGTCTATAATTTTTGGATATTACAAGTACTCAATTTAATGAGCATTTTTGTGGTGTTTATGAATTCTCATTCTGTCAAGGTTGCACTGTAGAATGTATAGTTGTTCTTAACACATTCAGGCAAGACATATGAAGCTTGCACAGTCTCTGTAGTGTGTTATTTTGCAAAGACAACTTAAATGTATAACTTCAGTACTAAATTTTTGGTTGTTAAACATCCTCTGTTGGTTGAAAGAGAAAGCAAACAAACACCTATCTTTATGGTATATAAAGTGAAGTTAATGGTCACCCTGCTGGTTTCATATATTGGTACAAAATAAGTACTGGGAAGCAGATTGCATCAGAATGTTACATTATGGTTCCTGGCAGTAGGATGTACTTATGTATGTCATGATAGGAAATGTGAAGATACTCAGTGCTTTGATGGAAGACTGCAGTTCTGCTATTTTATGTTAATTTTTACTTAATAAGCAGCACTAATAACATGTTAATTTAAAAGTTTTCATTCAACTTAACATTTAGACCTCTTCAATCTGTGACTGTAATGGTTCATATTGACATAGGTGTCAGTATTGCATGTTAATGATGGTATAGTCAATGAAAATGCTGGTGGGTAGTCACGGGATTATTGTGCCATAACAAATTTTATCAGTGCTGTATCCATTGATATGAGATTATTTTTGCATCAGTCACATAATTGATAACTTATATTTTAAGTCTGTGGTGTGTGGTGTACCAGTAGTGGTATTAAAGGTTTTTATGGGCTGCTTTGCTTTTTGCAGATACCAGTGTGGCACATAGCCCACATTTTGATTGGGTGGTAGCCCATGTTGGTAGCTGCTTTCCACACACTGTTATCACTCGAGTCCTTTCATGTGGATTGAAAGATTTCAGTCAGCATGGTTCAGCAGATCAAAGTGCCAAGGTACTGTATTTGAGAAAACAAAAAAGTGTTCAGTTGTGCTTCATAATACCATAGTGGCATACCTGCAGTCAAGTTGGACATGTACTACAATATTAGAGCACTGAATCACCTCTTTATTTCAAGTCAATTGATAGTCGCTATGACACTATACTTTCCTCCACTGCTCCATACACACACCCATTATGCTTTCCTCCTTTGAATTATTAATAAAAAGAAACTCTAGAAGAGTCATTCTTAGTCTGAAATTATCAGGTTCTAGGCACATATTTTCCATGTGATTCTTCTGTCAGTATGCCTTTCACATTCATTCAAGGTCTGTCAACTCTGAGATGGTGACATCTGAATGAGTCAAAAGGGACACCAAAATAAATTGAAGTTTTGGCACATGTTTATAGCTTGGAGGTTGGGGTCAGAGGTAGGTTACCACTGTAAGTTTTGAACGCAGACAATGACCTGCATAGTCATGTTGTGTTAATGAGTTAGAGTGATGTAAAGCTAAAGCAAAAATTATGCACTGCAACTCCCATTTAAAGTTTGCCTTTGGGACTGGATTTTTGTACCTTCGATTGAGAAATTCTACTTAATGTTCACATCAAATATCTGCTTTAATCTGACAAAAGAATGAAGAAATATGCATTATAAAAGTATTAAAATAAATAAAAATAGAGAAGGGCAGCCTTATAACTTGTAATTTGAGAAGACTTGCAAAATGTCTCATAATTACACAATAGAGGAGGCTACATCTTGTCACCCAAACACATGACACTGTAACTAAATTGAACAAACACCAAGGCTGGAGGGGGAATATATAAAAGGAAAAGAAATTCCTGTGAGCAAGTGCAGTCATGTCCTAATTTTGTAGTCAAATCTGGAAAGAACACATTTAATGAAGTGTACTTTATATACTGTGAGAACTCCTGTGAGCATGGTCAGGGCAATATAAAGCACAATGGCGGAAGCAGAATGCATGCTTACAAACATACCTGGAATATTATTTTGTTACAGTAATCGAAGAGAGACTGCTTTGTTGGGCAAGTGAACAGCAACTCCCTCTGTAACTGATGAATTTGACCCATGCTGGCATCATCTGTTTTTAAAGTAGCACGTATAACATAATACAGCCTTAAAGTCAGCAACTGCCTCTGCATATGTAGGCACAGTAGTTTCTTCTACAACTTCTTCACTGCTTTCTACATCTTTGTTTTCTTTGCTATTTTCTGCAGCATCACATATCTTCAATGCTGAGCCTTGTTGTCATCTTTGCAGATGACAAAATTTTTTATTTTAAAATTGTGTAAACTGTTCTAGAAATAATTATTTTTATAATAGTAGGTAGTAACATTATAGAATTTGACAATTTTCTTTCAAATACTTCTACTAGAATGTAATAATCAGAATATTTCAAATGATATAAACATTTTCCAATACTAATACATGTACTAGTTAAACCCTGCTATTTAAAAATCTAGACTGTAGCCCCATAGGACAGGAGATTTAAATCCCTTACTCCCATACTGCAGTGGTTAGTGTTTAGCACACTGGCTAATATCAGGCCTTGAATGTGTGTATGTGTAAGTATGTGTGCATACATGCATATCCAAGTCATATTTGTATTATTATTAAATAAAATATGTACAAATTAGAACTTGGTAACTTATGTTTGCAGCATAATCAATTGACATATGTATCCATTGCAGTCTTTCACAGATGTTACAGAAACAGTTCTGGTGAATGTTTATTTCTTTCTCCAAGTCTGCATTGTCACATCGTGACCAGTGTTTTTATGCGTTCATACAGTATTTATTACCTGTGGGATACTAAGCCTGGGCTACTTGCGGCCTTTATGCACTACTTTACGTCAGGCATGAAAATGATATAACTTACCCATCTCACCTTCACATACATAATATTTTGAAATGATTAATGTAAGGAACATTGGATTGTAATGATGTGCCATGTGTTTTGTATGTCATAGATCCAGTATTTGAGTTTCAGTCCTTGGATCATCCATCCTGATGATTGTGATTTTCCTTAGTCCCTTCACAATAGTAGTGGTATAATGTTTTAAAACAGCTCATGTTACTGCTTCTTTTCATATCCTTTTCAGTTCGGCTTTCATAATCATCCAGTCACTTGACCCTCTGTAACCGGTGCAGTTGAAAACCATTGTCAGATAAAGACTCAATCAGTCAAGGCACTATTTTGGGTCTGATAAATTCAAATAAGTTTTTGATTGAATTTTCAGGCACCAAAACTGAATTCTGTTGTTGGTATACTTGGTCATCTGGCAGGGAGTCATTTTGCAGATATAAGGTCAGCCCTTCTTGAACTATTCCAGGTATGTAAACATTAATGTACCAATAAACGATGTGCACAAAAGTTGGAAAATACTGAAATTTACAGCTGAGCGGTAGCATTTCCTTTCTATTAAGTGTATATAGTAGTACAGATTTCAGTCAGTTTACAACTTTTATTATAAAATAATTAAAACGCAGATAATATGTTACATGTTTTTGTGATTTGAATTCACCTTCATCAGATATTTAAATTTTAAATATGGAGATAAACGTTACAGGTGCATTTTCAGCCTTCTTTCCTAAAGTAGGCTTATGCCAAGACCATTGTCTTTGCCTGTGTGTGTACCCTCCCATCAGCTTCTAAATGCCAGAACCAATTTTAAGAAAGAAAGCAGTCTTCTGGGATTTGGCAACGGTGCCAAATCCCAGAAGACTGCTTTCTTCATAGTCACCGCCGTGAAAGCCTCAAATCTTACATAATTTTAAGAAACTTAGTATGTATATTATGGCAACTGAGCCCATCTCAACAGCATACTTCATAAATCCCTCCCAATTTATCGATTTACCAAGACCTGAATATGATAACTCCTCACTCAGTTAAACAAAATAAATAATACATAACCAAATATGATTACTCTGCCGAAAAATGTCTCTTTAACTGAGAGACGTGTGCCTTTCTTAATAATCACTCCTGTGTCTGGATTAGCCAACAAAACAATCACAGGAGAAACAAACCTTGCTATTGTAAGTGGTACAGACCACTTATAGTCCAACTTGACGGAACGCTGCCGCAACTTTGAACTCAGAGGGTGAAATCTTACAAGGACCAAATCACCCACACAAAACTTTGCTTGCCTTCTCCCTGCATCATATCTATCAGCAACCCTGGCATGGGCCTTTCCCAATTTACTGAAGGCTGTCTCCCAAAATTCCTCCATGCTCTTTGCATCCTTATCTAGCTGAAGTTCAGATAGTTTCCATTTAAGCCCCAGGGGATGGTTCAATTCCCTACCCAGAAATAGAGAGGCAGGAGTTGCTGCAGTCGACTCGTGCCCTGCTGAGTTAAAGGCAAGAGCTAACAACGAAAGATGTTCATCCCAACCCGTATGCTGAGAGTTGTCATTAATAATCAGGGCTACCGTCAAGTTGTGAAGCGTTCAACTTGCGACGTCTGGGGGTTAATAGGGTGAGATGGTAGTGTGGACTGTAGGAGCCATTTACAGTTGGTTCTCTGGACTCCTTTTTACAGTCATGTGTCGTCGAAATGTTCTGGTAAAGACGTCAGCATAATGGCGGTGGGGATGAGGGTTAAGGAATGGCAGGATGCCAGGATGCAACACAGAGCCAGTTGAGTACAGCATGGTTCAGTTCTTCCCAGAACTTCCTGTTGTAAACATATTGTCACATGTTAGAGTGTGACTGTAAATGGGGTGTGGATTGGTTATTGGATTTATTGAATACTAATACACACAGTTTGTAACTACCAGTAACTATAGTGCTATCACTGATTCACATACTCTGCAGTTTACTAGAGCATATGCTAAGTCTTTTCAGTCTGCTTTGTGTTTACCACAGCTTCCCCTATTCTGGGTTCGCAAACTATCCCCATGCCTCAGCTAACCACTTCTAAAAGCAACAGCTCATGACGACTGAACCACAGTTCTCTGAGTAACTCACAAACTCACCAACCAACTTGCTCCACTTCACTCAACTCAACTGTACTTTTTTCACTCCACTCTAATATCTATGTATCCCCAGCATGGACCACACACAAAATACAGCTCTTCTGTTGTTGGATGTGTTTATATTGCGGCCATTCCTAGCATCTGCTGGTGTTTACAAGAGTCACCTCTTAGCAAAGGGTCTACATGCTGTAATGTGATACATACATATAAAGGACAGTAATAAATTTGATATAGGGCAGTAGTTGAAAGTGTAAATATTGGGGCAGGTTCAGGAATTTTTTCATAAATATCATGGAAAGAATGTAAGGAAAATGAAGTAGTAGTGAAGATAAAAAATGAATGAAATTATCTGTGATGTTTTTCTTCAGTAAATATTCCTGTAATTATATTTCTTTATTGATATATATAGTGGAGTCTGGAGCCTGACAAACATGAAGGGGATGGAGAGAATGCTGAACGACCAGCAACAGTTCCATTTTTGCTTCAGTTGGCTTCACTGTCATCAACATTGTTGCATGCTTTGTCAACTGACGTGCTACACACCTGTAAGTTTAATGCATCCATTCCATTCCCATTTCAACGTTATTTCTTCATAACTGTTTGGACTGATTGATTGATTCACAGGTACCATATGAGGGGTTGAGTGGTTAGCACTCCTGCTTTTTATCAGGTACCAGGTTCAAATCTTGGCCCAGAGACCAGCTGTTGTAACTGAGGTTTATTATAATTTATGTCAGTCCCTCATGCCTGAAAAGATGTTTTGGCCTCTTCCTTCCATATCCTGTCCAATTCATCGTTTACAGTTGACCTACTATTCTCTTCCCTATAACCTGAACAGCTGAAAAAGCGTAATTAAGTAAGCCAGTAGTCAATCATGAATGAACTTCCTTATGTTATATATTCTTATGTTATTTAATGGTTCTGTTTTGACTGTGGTGGTTATATGGGGCCTGACAAGCAAGTAAAGTGATTGTTGTTTCTGTGCAGCAGCTGTCACCTCCAATGAATTGACATCTGTTGGATCACAAGACTACATGATTCTCATTTGGGGGGGGGTACTTAGGTATTAAAGGATGACCCAGGTAACTTTAATATTTACTGCTATGTTAGGATATGTGTAATCTGGTAGTATGCTCATGAGCCCATATATATACAGGGTGTCCCAGGAGGAATGTGCCAGACTTCGGGAGGGTGTTCCTTATGTTAAAAGTATGCTGATATAACCCAAAACACCTATGTCCAAAGTTGAAGGGTTACGGAGATAATACCCAGAGAAGTGTGAAACTTTGACAGGTGTTACACACTTGTTGATTACCAAATACATATTAAAAGTGGCAGGAATATGTGGTTTCTGTAATGTTAATAATGTACATAACATCAAACTAACTTGTGAGTGACATGAAACCATTAAATTGAACTACAAAAAAACTCGCACACCATGTCATATTTGTCCTTAGGGTTCCAAGCACTATACATGACACATGAATGGCAAGCACTGACGTAACATGGCTAACTGCTCATTCTGGTATAAGCCGACTACATAACTGTACTAAAATACAGTACCTGCTTTATAGTAATTGTTTGAAGGGTCCTCCACCAGCTGCAATGCAGTTTTCGGCACGCATCATGAGGGATTGGGTAGAAGAAGCAGTGTTGCCTGGATGGTGATGTATGTGTTCTGCCACTGCAAAAATATGATCCCACAGTGCTTCTTGTGAATCGACCTTAGTTTTGTAGACGAACGTCTTCATGTGGCCCCAGAGGTAATAATCTAGAGGCGTAAGATATGGCGACCTCAGTGGCCATGCAACGGGGCCACCACGACCTAACCAGCAGTTAGGGAAGGATTCATCTAAGTAGTGTCTCACGTGCTGAGAGTAATATAGGGGAGCACCATCATGTTGGAAGTACATTTGGCTCCTTATCGTTAACAGGATGTCTTCCAACAAACATGGTAACTCATTCCTCAGGAAGGCTTCATACGTGTTTCCAGTTAAATTGTTGTGAAACCCAAAAGGTCCTATCAACCTGTTCCCAAGCACACCACACCATACATTCACAGAAAATCTCT